TATGATTATTGGATACACACACACACACACACGCACGCACACACACACACACACACACACACATCCACCATTTCTATTTGAATTGTAGCTATCCAAAATCAGTTTTAGGATAAAAAAAAACAACAACTTTTTATTCAGATTGTTACAGAGATAATGTATATTATCTTAATATTGAGACACTTCGCAATATTAAGAATATTGATCTGTCTGTTTCATTTTCTAATGAAGTTGATAACTTGTTGAACACTGATGGATTACATAGCCTGGATGAGTTGACTTCTTACTACAACGACCAGTTGCAGAATGTTTTAGACGTTGTTGCACCTGTCAGAACTGGGACTGTCTCATTTGCTCATACTGCTCCATGGTATACTCCTGAGTTACGTCAGTTAAAAGCAAAGGGGCATCAACTTGAGCGTTTATGAGATCTGGTTTAATTGTACACAAGGAAATGTATGATCACCATATTAGTGACTACAAAGAAGCCCTTTCTACTGCTAAAACAAATTATTATGCCAATTTGATAAACTCTGGTGGTGGGAATACAAAAATATTGTTCTCTACAATGAATAATATTTTGAGACCACCAGATGTTTTTTCATTACATTCACATTCTAATACTATATGTGATACTTTTATGACTTATTTTAGTGATAAAATTGAAACTATTCATAAGAATTTAACTCACAATAATGGGGCATGTGGTTCATTCTTCTCTTTTCAGGATGTTTCCACTTTAACTGCTTTTTCTAGTTTTTATTTGCCTATGGCTAATGAAATAGTGGAATGTGTCCAAAAATCTAAACCTACTACCTGTCAGTTAGACCCTATTCCCTCACATCTTGTTAAGTTTTGTTTACCTTCCTTGTTACCACTGATAACTCAAATCATACACTCTTCTATTATCACTGGTACTATTCCTTCATCCTTCAAAGTAGCAGCTATAACTCCCATACTTAAGAAACCTGGTGCGGATCATAATAACCCAGAAAACTTTTGACCCATTTCTAATTGACTTTTTCTTTCTAAATTACTGGAAAAAATTGTTGCTCAGCAGGTACATGCTCATTTAATGGAGAATAACTTGTTTGAGCAATTTCAGTCTGCCTATCGTCCATATCATAGCACGGAGCCAGCACTTATTAAAGTCACAAATGATTTGTTAATGGCTGCGGATTCTGGACTTTTATCAATACTCATTCTTCTTGATTTAACTGCAGCTTTTGACACTATCTCACATAGTATTTTATTGGAGAGGTTGATTTTTATTGGAATCACTGATATCCCCCTTGATGGGTTTAAATCATATTTATCTGGTCGGACTCAGTTCGTACAGATAAAAATTTTTAAATCGCATATATCTCAGATAACCAGTGGTGTGCCTCAAGGCTCAGTTTTGGGCCCTCTTCGGTTCAGTGTTTATTTATTGCCTCTAGGACAGATTTTCCATAAATTTAATATAAACTTTCACTGTTACGCAGATGACACCCAGCTCTATATGTCTTCGAAGCCTAATTCAGTATTACCGTCTTCCTCCCTTTTGCTTTGTCTTTCAGAAATAAAATCACGGTTTACATGTAATATTCTCAAAGTTAATGATGAGAAGACTGAAATCTTATTAGTAGGTACTAAATGAAAACTGCACAACCATGGAAGTTTTACACTTACTATCGACGATTGTGTTATTTCTCCTTCTTCTCAGGTTAAGAGTCTGGGTGTCATCCTTGACAGCACTCTGTCTTTTGAGGCACATGTAAATAATATTACACGGTCAGCATGTTACTATCTGCGAAATATCAATCGTCTTTGACCATCTCTTTCTGCTAATGGTACTGCTGTCCTTGTGCATGCATTAGTTACGTCTCGAATTGATTACTGTAATTCTCTTCTCAGTGGCGTTTCACAGAAACTTATTCAAAAACTTCAGATGGTTCAGAATTCAGCGGCTCGGATCTTTACACGAACACCGTTGAATGAGCATATTACTCCAGTTTTAAGGCACCTTCATTGGCTTCCAACTAGATATTGAATTCAATTTAAGATTTTACTTTTCACTTATAAGGCTCTTCACAATCTAGCACCTTCATATCTGAGTGAACTTCTTCATGTGTATTCACCTACCCGATCACTCTGGTCTTCTGCTTCTGTGACTCTTGTTGTACCATCTGTTCGTTTGACTCCCATGGGAAGTAGAGCCTTTAGTTGCATTGCTCCGACGATTTGGAATACTCTACCTCAGGACATACGTAATAGTTTTAGTCTCTCAATTTTTAAATCACGTCTCAAAACTCATTTTTTTAGATTAGCCTATCCTGAGTGATTTAGTTATGTTATTGGGTATTGCTTTTCTTTGTATTATTGTTTGTGTTGTATTGTTTTGTTTTTTTTCTTCTTTTTCTTTAATTATGTATTTTATTATTGTAAGGTGTCCTTGAGTGTCTTGAAAGGCGCCCATAAATAAAATGAATTATTATTATTATTAGATAATATAATTTATAATAAATTGTTTATCTGAAATTAGAATTTGACCACACACTATGGAAAAACTTCAAAGTGTCAATTATGAATTTTGTTATTTTTCGTAAGAATTTTAATGATACTCATATTCATGCATATCTTCCATATGGGAAGTGTTTCCAATAAATGTTTACACAGAGTGTCTGTCTTTGAAATAATTAATAGATAAATGTATTGACATCACTGGAGAGGAATAGAGAAACAGTACACACACTGATGCAATAAAATGCGTTAAACTGTAATGAATATAAGAAGCTCTATACCAGGGTTCCTCAAATCTTGACCTGGAGGGCCAATGTGCTGCAGAGTTTAGCTCCAACCCTGATCAAACTCACCTACCTGTGATTTTCTTATGATCCTGAAGACACTGATTAGCATGCTCAGGTGTGTTTGATTAGGGTTAGAGCTAAACTCTGCAGGAAAGTGGATCTCGTGGGCCAGATTTGAGGATCCCTGCTCTATACTGTATAAGAATCTTTCAGACATCACAGTTAATGATGGTTAATGCAATTGTCTCTTGACAGATTCACATTGGACAATGACCATGAGTTCTGTGCTGATCCCAATGAAACATGGGTCCGTGAACTCATTCTGAGGGTGAACAGACTGCCAGATTTGTGGTCTGTGTGGCCTTGGGTGCCTGAAATGTCTCAAACATCTGAAATGCCTAAGACTTCTGTAATGCCTCAGAGACCTGAAATGGCTCGAACGTCTGAAATGCCTCGAACGCCTGAAATGCCTGAAAATCCTGGAGGACCTGGAACACTTGAAATGTCTGAAATGCCTCGGACACCTGGAATGCCTGAAATGCCTGAAATGTCTCAAACATCTGAAAAGCCTCATACTCCTAAAATGCCTCAAATGTCTGAAATGCCTCAAACGTCTGAAATGCCTCAAACATCTGAAATGCCTCAGACTTCTGAAATGCCTCAGACTTCTGAAATGCCACAAACACCTGAAATGCCTGATATGCATCAAACACCTGAAATGCCTCATACTTCTGAAATTCCTCAAACGTCTGAAATGCCACAAACAGCTGAAATGTCTCGAATGTCTGAAATGCCTCATACTTCTGAAATTCCTCAAACGTCTGAAATGCCACAAACAGCTGAAATGTCTCGAATGTCTGAAATGCCTCATACTTCTGAAATTCCTCAAACGTCTGAAATGCCACAAACACCTGAAATGCCTGCTATGCATCAAACACCTGAAATACCTGAAAAGCCTGGAACACCTAAAACGTCTGAAGTGCCTCGA